AAAATGGCGGCGGATGGCACGGGGAGTTGGCGGTGCTGGCCGAAGAGGTACATCGTACGTGAACGCCGCCCTCTCCACATGACAAGATGGGATTGCATAATTGGGAAAGTAAACCCTCAGCAAAGTCCTGCAGGGCCAGTGCTAGTAGCTTATTGCTAGTAGCATATTATCCAGACTGTACCACCATCTGCTCCGTATGCGGCATTCCGACCTATCGCCGGTGGTGTAATTGGCCACTGCCCCTCCCTCCTGCCCCTCATTTCCCGTCCCCAGACAGGAGGAGCTTCTGGTGGGGAGATCGCGCCAGAGCTGGCTCGATTCTGACTACAAGAACCAACCCAGCCCACCCCCAAGAGAGATAGCTTTCCCTCCCTACTCCCTCATTCTCCTTCTCACTCAGCTCTCATTCCATCATTTACCACGTCTCTTCCATCTTCGCCCGCCTCCCCAAGTCTCAACATCCCACAGTCCGTCAAGATGGTCAAGGCTGGTTCGTAAAGACCCTCTCTCCCACCCCCGCATTGCTATATATGTTATACAGTTTTAGCTCCATGCGGCCTGTTCAAGCACTGACGAGGACCAAATACAGTTGTCGCAGGTGCCTCTGGTGGCATTGGTCAGGTACGTGCTCTCATATTCGAACTTCCGAGCTTTCCAGGCTCTGCATCTTGGTATATTCGGACGTTTGCTAATTGGTATCCAACACCAGCCCCTGTCACTGCTCCTGAAGGGCAGCCCTTTGATTGACGAGCTCTCCCTCTACGATGTTGTTAACACTCCTGGCGTGGCCGCCGATCTCTCACACATCTCTTCCCCCGCTGTTAGTTCCCCCGCTGCTTCCGCTCACTCCCTTTGGGCCGGCTGGGCTAGGACCTGGGGAACCCCTCCCACTGACTAGCACACTAGGTTGTGACGGGATACCTTCCTGCCGACGATGGCGCTAAGAAGGCATTCAAAGACGCCGACATCATCGTCATCCCCGCAGGCATTCCCCGTATGTCCGGCGCCACCCCCCTGATATCGAGAAAGCAACAGGCTAATTCCAAGCTAGGCAAACCGGGAATGACCCGTGATGACTTGTTCAACATCAATGCTGGCATTGTCAAGGGCTTGATTGAGACAGCTGCCGAAGTTGCCCCCAACGCCTTCATCCTTGTCATCTCGAATCCTGTCAACTCGACTGTTCCTATCTCTGCTGAGGTTCTCAAGGGCAAGGGTGTCTTCAACCCCCAGCGTCTCTTCGGTGTTACCACTCTCGACATCGTCCGTGCTGAAACCTTCGTCGCTGGCATTATTGGCGAATCCCAACCCCAGAAGCTCACAATCCCCGTCGTCGGCGGTCACTCTGGCCCCACGATTCTCCCACTCTTCAGCAAGGCTTCACCCAAGGTGACCATCCCCGATGACAAGTACGATGCTCTAGTCCACCGAGTCCAGTTCGGCGGTGACGAGGTTGTCACTGCCAAGAATGGCGGCGGTTCCGCAACACTTTCAATGGCTTATGCTGGTTTCCGGTAGGTTGATCATAAAATGAGAAGGCATCATGTCTACCAATCATCTAACCATTGATTCCAAATACAGATTTGCCGAGAAGGTACTTCGGGCCATCAAGGGCGAGAAGGGACTCATCGAGCCTAGCTACGTCTACCTCCCCGGTGTTCCCGGAGGTGAGGCTATCGCTAAGAAGACCGGCACTGATTTCTTCTCTGTCCCCATTGAGCTTGGTGTACGTACATACTCAGCATAACTTTGCTTCCTGCTTGTATGGGCTCTAAACTGACCAAATTCCAACAGCCCAACGGCGCTGAAAAGGCCATCGATCCCCTGGAGGGTATCACCGAGAAGGAGCAGGCTCTTCTGACCAAGGCTATTGAAGACCTCAAGGGCAACATTGCCAAGGGCGTTGAGTTCGCCCACAACCCACCTCAAAAGTGAATCATCCCCTCCCTATAAGATGACTCTTTGCCTCGTTAAGCAGGGTTGCCGAGTGAAGGAGGCTTGTTTCAAGGAGATTAGCTACCAACCTAGGCTTAATGAATGAATGAAAATTGTTAAAAGTGCGAGTTGCTGATACGTTTCTCATTTTTTATAGGCTGTAATATGTCCCGTTTGATAGGGCAGCGCGCGATAGTTCCGTTTCAGTTCGATCTGCTTTTGTTCAGACTCAAAGTACATAGTGTAGAAGGCTGGTATATGGGCGACAAATGGTAAAGATATGTGGTGCGTTGCGATGAGGAAAAGCCAACTAATAGTAAGGATCGAGGATCCGATGCCGGGCTGTCCCCATTCGTAAATTACAATATCGGGTTAGGTTCAATTGAATTCAAGATTTTGGAGGAATGGTCTTAATCTGGAACACTGCTCCTGGCAATTCGTTGATTTCCGCTTGCACAGTAGCTTCGATGCCCAGCGCGGCCAAGGCTCCTCTGACAATTCCGCAAGGAAACCATAAGAACTGGAGCCAGAAGTCAACAACAGTCTCTCCATAGTGAAGATTAAAGAGGGGGTCAAGTGTGGACAAACGTACTGGCTGAGCGCGAACCACTGCTTGGCCGCCAGCTTCAGTGCTCATACGGGTGAATGGGCGGAAAACATTGTCGGTCAGGACATATACACCCTACACTTGTTAGCGTTGGTGAACGATCGCGCATGTGTTGAGAAATTTCGCGAACCCGGTGGTTGGTCTTTAAGTTGTCTATGTTCTTTCCAAAAACAAGAGACCAGAGATCTTTGCAAAGAAATTTGATGACGTCGAGGGTGTCATTAAATCGAGGGCGGTCTCGAGAGAACCTGAGAGGAGCGATCTGATTAGTCCTAGCCACGGCAAAGGCATACAAGCCAAAGGACGAACCTTTCCACTAAACCCTGGCCAACCCGATATCCCAATGTCTCAAGCCTATGCCTTGCTGCATCTGCCGCATCGTCCTCGTCCACGCGGCTAGGGAAAGTGGCCGAGGGGGCAGTCCCATTTGCCGGTGTATTCTGTGTATTTGCGGTGCTTATCGTGGCGGCACCGGCGGCGGTAGGAGCGCCGGCGCCATTGCTCTCAGAATAACGAGGGGGCAAGGTCTCGCCAGTGACCCGGTACGCAAGAGGGACCAGTTCGATGAGGAGGAAGTCGAGGGCGGAGGAGCTTGTGAAAGCTGCTCCCGAGTCGGAAACGCTATGGGGGGACGCGAGTGGTTCCAAAGACATAGTCGCTATTCATATAGCCACCCTACGAGAGGGTATGGGCCAGAGACACTTGCTGATGGAGTAGGTGGGAGTGATGGGCGAGGGCCTAGGGGTCGAGAGGTGACAAAAGGCTAAGACACCTATAGCAAAATCGTGAGGAACTCTATGCCGTCAGTGCCAGACTAAGCCCGGATAGATATTCAGTAAGAGGAAAATATCAACATTTGTAGGGTCTAGTAGTCTGTCATGAAGTTGTCGCATCCTAAAGCATGATTGGAGACAGGCGCAAGGGTAAATGAATTGAGGTTGGAGCGGGTTTATCGATAGCGGTGCTGAGTTACAGCATCAGCCACACCACGGTGCCACACCATGACACCATCCAGGTGTCTTGCAGCAAATCTGGACCACAGATCTTCAACGCCTTCCGTTGCGGGACCCAATTCATCAATAGGGTATTTCTGTCACAACCCCGGAAGTGCCGAATTTGAACCAGTTAGGCGGAGGAAGAGAGTGCCCGCTGGCAGCTCAAGTCAGCGCCATGCTTCTCTCTTCTAGATTTACTGGTCGCGTCCATCGCTCGCCGGCACTGGGCCTGCAGAGACTGACTTTGCGTCCCGCTGCGAACTCACGAGGTTTCTTCGCAACCACGACGAAGCTGCTTACGCAGCCCTCAAAGGACAATAAGTAGGTTGCATCATTTATGGCTACAGATCTACTACTCGTTTGTCTACGACTAGTTAACCAATTGCTCTTCTGAACACTAGGGATCTGAATCATAAATCTCCGATTTCAACTCCAGACCTACCTCAAAAGACTTCTTCCAAACCCAAAGACGCAGTCTTACACGAAGACATCTACAACATCCCGAACGCTCTCACCTTCAGTCGCCTTGTCGCCGCACCAATTGTTGGCTATCTAGTGTTACACGACCAGCATGCGTGGGCTGCAGGCCTATTCGCTTACGCCGGCATTACCGATCTAGTGGATGGATGGATCGCACGACGGTGGGATCGCAAGACTGTTGTGGGCACTGTCATTGATCCTATGGCCGACAAGGCTCTCATGACCATTTTGACAGTTTGCCTGGCTATAAAGGGGGCCTTTCCGGGTAGGTTATCTCACCGCGGTAGAAAATGTGACCACTAACACGACGTAGTCTGGCTTGCTGTCATAATCCTTGGCCGTGATGTCGGCCTCGCCATTTCTGCAATCTACTATCGCTGGATCTCTCTTCCCCCTCCCAAGACCTTCTCCCGCTATTGGGATTTCTCTCTGCCATCCGCCGAAGTGCACCCCACTACCATCAGCAAATACAACACTGTCCTCCAAGTAGGCCTGATCGGCATTACTACAGCCGCACCACTGATCACTGCCGATATTTCATCAGCTCTCACCATCATGCAGTATGGGAACCCTCCTGTGTCCTCAGAGCGATATCCTTGAGCCGTGTATGCTAACCAACGGCTAGGTATATTGTAGCGACAACGACAGTCTGGAGTGGTGCCAGCTATGTATACAGCAAAGATGCCGTCAAAATTCTTAGTCAACCCAAGGCTGGCTCTAAAGGTCAAAAATAATCGACTTCGCATGTACATGCAATTCCACTGTATGAGTTAGGCCAACATTTGTAAAACTCAGGATTCAAAAAATTGTACAGAAAAAAAAGAAATAAAACTTTTTACCAAGCATCAAATATTTTCCCAAAGTAGCGATCGGCCATATATCACAAACAAACCCGGTTTTTTTTTTTTAGCTCCCAAAGCCCCTAGTCTATCATTCCTTACTATACAATGATTGAAATTAAATTATTGTTGGTTTGCGTAGATTCAAAGAATGGCTTCCAGCTCCGACGGAGAGGAAGCGATCCCATAGCGCCTAACATATGCCAAGAGCCTTATGCTCCCTGCAGGAGTGACTCCCTCCACACGTCGAGCCTGGGCCAGAGTTTCCGGGCGAGTTGCATTAAGCACTTGCTTCTCTGCGATGGCAAGGCCCGGAACAGTGTCGTAGTTCAAGTCTGTGGGAAGGAGGATCTGCTCATCGTTCATGAATTTGGATCGTTCTGACGCCTGCATCTTTATATAAGGTGCATAGGTAGCTTCGATCGTCACCCGCTGCCTTACACGAGCCGGGAATTGAGCGATTTCAGGTAATACTGAGGTGAGGCGGTCCATTGGGATCCAGTTGCCAACAGTGTTGCTTAGTGATGATCGAAGGAGGTCTATACCTGTTCGGCGGCGGGTGTCTTTCCTTAATTCGAAACCCTTCTCGGCCCATTGAGTCGAGCTCAAGGACACAGCCTCAAGTGCTTGTGTGAGGTTGTTCATTTGGTCCCTTTCATCATTGAATGCCGTCCATCTCCTATCCGATACAGCCCCCCATTTTCGACCCTTTTCGGTAAGCCTCAAGTCTGCGTTGTCTGCTCTGGCAGCCATACGAAATTCGCTTCTCGAGGTAAACATTCGGTAAGGCTCCGTCACTCCCTTCGTCACCAAGTCGTCAATCATAATTCCAATGTAGCCATCAGAACGAGAAAGTGACACGCCGGGTCGTCCAGTAGCAGCTCGGCCGGCATTAATACCGGCCAAAACGCCCTGGCCTGCAGCCTCCTCGTATCCAGTAGTTCCGTTAATCTGCCCGGCTAGATATAAGCCACCGATGAATTTGGTCTCCAGTGTCCTCTTAAGCGAACGTGGGTCAACATAATCGTACTCCACACCATACCCAGGTTGGAGCATTGTGACATTCTCCAAACCCTTAATACTGCGCAAAATAGCCTCTTGTGCTTCTGGGGGTACCGTCATTGACAGCCCATTGGGGTATATCACGGAACTGTCAAAGCCTTCTGGTTCAAGCCAGACAATGTGGCGAGCTTTCTCGGGGAACCGAATTATCTTGGCTTCTAATGAAGGACAATATCTTGGTCCTTTGACGGTTTCCCGGATGTGGATAGTTTTGTCGAGGTTCTGGCGAATGATTTCGTGAGTGGCATGACTTGTATACGAGATGCTACACGAGAGCTGGTCCTTCACCACGACCTGATTATTCAAGTAGCTGAACGGCGTGGGAGGGTCATCTCCAAACTGCGGTTGAAGTGTACCGAAGTCTATCGTAGCTTTGTCTAGTCGCGGCGGGGTCCCGGTTTTCAGTCGGCCCATTTGGAAACCGGCGTCCTTGAGAGACTTGCTCAACCCAAAGGTCGCCGCCTCGCCAATTCTGCCGGCTGGATATGCTTGCAAGCCGATGTGGATCTCGCCCCCCAGAAATGTCCCTGTCGTAATGACAACTGAAGTAGTTGGTATCGTGCGGCCGGATTCGAGACGAACTCCAGCAACTTTGGATCGATGTCCTTCAGTTTCGGAATCTTGGTTCTCTGCAAGTACGAGGTCGGATACACTATCGAGAACGACTGACAGGTTCGGGTATGACTCCAGCTCTTCGCGCATGTGCTTCTGGTACAGTTTCCGATCGATTTGTGCTCGAGGGCCCTACTCCAATGTCAATAGCGTAGCTTGCGAGGAACGACGAGCCATTCAAACGTACCCAAACCGCAGGTCCTTTGCTTCGGTTCAAAACGTGGAACTGGACACCGGCCTTATCAATGATCCTACCAGCCAGGCCATCCAAAGCATCTACTTCGCGAATTATCGTCCCCTTTCCGATGCCACCAAAACTTGGGTTGCATGAGCAAGTCCCGAGATTTTCGATCTTGGGTGTAATGAGGGCTGTTCTGGCACCGGTTCTGGCTGCTGCGGCGCATGCTTCTGCCCCAGCATGACCACCACCAATCACGACGACATCGAACGGTCTAGATCAAAACAAAATGGATGTCAATCATGTTATCTAGTACTGATATCAGGGTTGCGACGGATGCGACAAACCTATTGTCGTCGGAGACTGTGGCTAATGAGCGCTGGGCACGGAGAGGATGTCGCACATATCCCCGGTGTGGCAGCCGAACCAACCTCGACCTTAATAAGGCTTGCATGGCATGCCTCTGATACGAAGACAGCCCTACAGCAATGTGCGGGTGATCAATGGTGTTGCTCGCTGGTGTTCAGGACTGCGGGTTCTTGATCCCAACTTTTTTGCCCAGGGTATGTCATCAGAGAGGATGCATGTGATAGGCTTATGCATATAGAGGGGCAGTTTCTGGGAGCGGCTCCATCCAACCAACCATCCCAAACTACCGTACATACCTACCTGATGCCGACTAACTTTCTGCTTTCTTTCTGATTTGGTAGTATCCCTTCTCTCAAGCCACTATCCATGTTCGAATTAAAAATTGAAACCAAATCGCCAGTCAAGGTATCTATTTACTTGCTAAAAACTACCAGATTAGCGCCTAGTCCGACTGTCGGGCCACGACGTTACTGCTTCCTCCACCTCCTCCAAAAATGTTGCTGAATTATGAATCGAAGTGCCACCTAAAACAACGCGAACGCCCGGCATAGAAGCATTTATCCCTGCAATCATCTTTGCTTCTTCGTAAGTTGCTCCTCCTACAATGAAGACAATAACATCTTGAGGCTTGTCCTTCGTGGATCCACCTCCCTCGACAAAAGGATACTGCTGCTCCTTCAGTTTCCCCTTGACTAGGTCTTGTAACGTTGTTTCCAGCAGAGGACTGTGCTGTGTGTAAACATTTTCTACACCTTTCAAGCCCTTGAAACCCTTGGAGGCGTTGGAGAAGATGCCGGCCGATTCAAAAATATCAGAAATTCCTCCCTGTGCTTGAGAGCTGTGCAGAGATGAGTGGTAGGTCAAAACGTAGTTAACGAGATCAGCCTGTCGGCTTGGCACCCCTCCAGCGGCAGTAAGTAGCTCAACGAGCATTGGAATTGCGTTCTGTGGGTGTTTTTGATATCGAAGGGCATACAGAGCAACAAGGCCGATCTTGTTCTCTGGAGTTACTGAAGGCTTTTCTACAAGCCGTTGAATGTTCTTTTACATGGGGTCAGCATTCGTAGCCCATATCGTAAAGAGTTTCAAAACACAAGATAACAGATACTTACTCTTAAATCAGTGCTGTGGTTGTCGTTGCAAGCCAGGCTCTGCTCGACCTCGCTCACTTCCAGCAGATTCTCTGCACCGACACGTTTACTTAATTCCGATACAAGTGTAACATGTTTGCTAACGTTCCCTGACAATTTCCGGAACTCGGGGTATTCTTCAATGAACCGCTTCATATCAGATATGGATTCCAGGTCCGCATTGTTCTTTGTTTTGGATTGGTATTGCTCGACATATTCCTTGATATTGCCACCTAAATCGCCGAAATTGAGGTACATGTTTTTCTTGAAGAACGGATCTTGGTCTTGAGACAGAACAATTTCTTTCAGTTCTGGTCGAATATCTGGGATGTCGCTGAGGTCCACGCGTCCGTTTTGTATGCCCAATAAATGGTGGACCATGGCTTGGTATGTCCACTGCGTTAAAAGGGGCGTGACTGGGTCCTCACGGCGGTCCAGAATAAGAAGAATAGGCGGTGTGTCAACTCTTCGGAAATCGAACAGTTGCTCTTCCTGAGACATGAGATACCGCACCTCAGCAGCCAGTTTCTTCGTTAGCGGGCTGCTTTTCTGGTACCGGATCAACGGCTTTTTCTTCAAAGATAGGAGGACAGCGCTAAGGCCTTCGGAACAGCGCTGGAGTGTGTCTGGATTCCAGGTATCAGGACTACCAGCCCAGATTTTGCGCTGTGGCAGTGCGACGTTGAGCGAGAAGAGGTCAGGGTTGACAACAACATAATCGGCAAAGATCTCCTGAACTGATTTGACAACCTCATGGTCATCAGCCTCAGCTAATCGCTCAAGAGCCGATTTCTTGGCCACGTTGGTGAAATAGAGGTAGTATTCGCCATATTTAGGGTCACGCAGCTCGTCAATCAGAAGCTGTATCGTCTCCGGGGAAGGCCGGACAAGGCAAAGACAGCGCAGATGGCGCATTTTCTCTCTCGAGGCATTGTCTAGGCGATCTATGAGATAGACCTCATGGTTTAACAAGGATGACTGTGTCACGGCGGTGGACACGATTGAGACTGTTTCCCTGTCCAGCAACAGTGTCTTCATTTTCGAGGAGGAAGCTGGGGCAGATAAAGCGTCGCTGCCCGGGGCCACCACACGGGAGACATAGCCCGCAATAGCTTGAGAAACGTCCATGTTGGGCAAGTCTGCTAAATAGACGAGCACCCTCTCTCAATTGTTGTGGAATTGGACCATTCCACCCGTACAGTAGGAGCCGGCCAAGAATTTAGATGCAAAAGCGTCAGAGTGGTGCAACAGATTTGTCCACAAAACTGCGGGATCTCGTTCTTGAATACGCTATGCCTGGGGGGTCTTTGTGTGGTTGAACTGCTGTGGCGGGCTTGTAATTCTGTTGATGAGACGTCGCTCTTAGAAGAGGCATTGTCGTCATTCGCTAATGGATCACCCCGTTAGCTGCATAGCCTCGGTACTCCGCCTAGTGGCTGAAAAGTGGCTTCGGTACAAGGATTGCCAGGACCCTCAACTTGCGACTTAGTAGCTAGCAAGCCGCCAGCTTAGAGTTCCCACGGATGAGGCAGGGAATCTAATTATTAGTCTTTGACATTGATCCCAAATAGGGCCGCCAGCAGTTTGTCTGTTGTACCCATATTCAGCGACACAGATCGGTTTCGCGGTGCGAGATCTTATACCGTCCAGAAAGCGCAAGTTCCAAGGAAAGAACAGCTACCCAACACATGGGGACCCCTCCTATTCCAGCACACGCAGACAGTCGGCATACCCAACTTGATCCTACTATTTCCATAGCATAGGATCCTCTGGGATTACCCCTTGCCGCCTTGCCAAACATGGCGTCTGAAGCATGCCCCGTTCCTCCTCCAGAGCCGACGTAGGTGCCAGCACCAGGTGCTTGCGCAAGGCATGCCACTTAGCTAATCCAACGTATAGACTATCTTTTACACAAGGACTCATTGTTGGCCAATTATCAATGGTGCTAATCCTGGCCGCCTTCATCAAGTTCTTCATCTTTGGCGACCCTCCATCACCCGATGTCACGGCATCACTGAGGGCAACTGAGAGACGGTCCAGGACTTTGGCTCATAAACAGTCGTTACTCAGCCTTAGAAGGCCGAGCAGCCGGCAGGGACAACTACTAAGTCGCAAGAAGTCGACCATCTTGAGAACTCCTCCGTCCCTGACGATAGGGTCTATCTTGAGCAAAACGTATTACAACGTAGACAGCCATCAACCAGAGAGTCTGGATTGGTTCAACGTTTTGATCGCCCAGACTCTTGCGCAATTTCGCAGCGATGCACAGCATGACGATGCCATCCTGAATTCTTTGACAAAAGCACTCAATGGAACGTCGCGGCCCGATTTTCTGGACGAAATTCGAGTGACGGAACTTAGCCTGGGCGACGATTTCCCCATTTTCAGCAACTGCCGAATCATCCCGGTTGATGAAGATGGCCTGAGCCTAGGCAATGGGAGGAACTTCAACCCGGCCACCGCGGCCACGGATGGGACTCGTCTACAAGCTCGGATGGATGTCGACCTGAGTGATATGCTTACGCTGGCGCTTGAGACAAAACTTCTCCTAAACTACCCCAAAAAGCTCTCGGCTGTCCTGCCTGTAGCTTTGGCTGTATCCATTGTACGCTTCAGCGGAACATTGTCTATCTCATTCATCCCCAGCAATCCATCACAATCCACACCTACAATGATGACCTTTAGCTTTCTTGATGACTATCGACTGGATTTCTCCATCCGCAGTCTTCTCGGTAGCCGTTCACGCCTACAAGACGTACCGAAGATTGCGCAACTCGTGGAAGCTCGTCTCCACCGATGGTTCGATGAGCGAGCTGTAGAACCTCGTTTTCAGGAAATTGCACTACCTAGTTTGTGGCCACGGAAAAAGAATACCAGAGGCCCTGACGATACCATGGCTGAAAGCGCCAGCACAACGTCACGAACTAAGGGCAAAGATATCGCCAGGGATCTACGCGAAGAGGCACGGAAAGAGGTAGCAGCCGAAGAAGAAAACCGCGAGCAAGCCTCTCTTCGACAGCGACGAAAAGCTAAGGAAGAAGGCGATTTCGAGATGCCTGGCTCGCTCCCTAATATAAACACAGACATTCGTCCCTAGGCAGAAGCAGAACTCTTCCGCTCCACACCACTCATCACTGAAGGATAGAAAAGGGGATATGTGCGTTTCAAAAAAAAATTATGGAGGATATGTAGAGATTTGTATGATAGATGAGCTACATCACCCAGGAAGGCCACCCCATGGTGTAAATTACAGGTCGGCAAGGGCCATTGATGAAGAGGTGAGGGCATACAAGCCCTGCCACCAAGAAAACATGCCTCCGAAAAGAAGTAAATAATAAACGACTGTATGGGCTTTTACGGTGCCATTGTTCGTCCCCTCTGGGAGCCAGTAGGGCTCTACTAAACCCCAAACGCGGGGAAGACCCATTACATTGCAGAAGGAATGAACCAGGATCACAGCAAGAAGAGAGCCCGTACGAAGAAAGATGAAGGTAGCGTATATGCCAAACAGATAGGTGTAGGAGAATTGGAGAACGGAGCGGGCAATGGCGGCAACGAGCAGCACGCTGGGGTGGGTCACACGGAATTCGTAGAAGTGGTGGACGTGTGCTACGCCAAAGACGAGGGGGGATAAGAAAACAGTCGAGGAGAGCCCATTACCAGCCAGGAGCAGTAACGGAACTGCGGCGGAGCGAAACAAACACTCCTCGGTGATGGGACCCTGCCACTGTGTGTAAGCGCAACGGAAGTGAATAAGATAGAGAATAACCATACCACAACCAAGTTTCTCCAGGAGGGCATGTCGTTCCAGACACTGCTAAGCGGCTCGAGACGCAGCCAGTCCTCCCAAGCGCCGTCAATGACAAGTCGCTCATACAACGGGGCGGCAAACAACAGGGCAGTTAGGAAAACAGAGTGGGCTGTTTCGCGCAAACCCAAAGGCCAATACCCCATAGAATGCCAAGCTGAGGCATGATCGTACCTGCCTTCGGCGCCAAGAGTGGAGGAGGAGAGCGTCAGAATGGCGAGAGTGATGATGGAGCATACGGCCGTGGACAGAGATACGGCTTTGATACGGGCTCGGATGGCTCCGGGGTCATCTCGGGAGCGGCCAGGTGTGGCCCTAGTCGCAGGCGAGAGGTGAAGTGGGAGAACATAGACGACACAGTATGCCAACTATCATCCATGCATGCCCAGGTTAGCCAGGTTTGTTCCCAAGCTTCGACGCCTTTCTGAGACACCTGCAGGAGCGATTAATTGCGGAGTCAACTCACAAGGCATCCAAAGGCGTGGGTTTGGGTAATGACATCCTTGACGACGGGAGCGTCGGGCGTTGGGTTGGCCATGAGTGGCAGAGATGCTACACGAACGTATTTGCGTTGTGTGCTGTGGTGTACTATAATGGATAACTCGTGCTAGGTGATGGAGCCCTCTCCTCTCCCCTATTAGGTCGATCCTCGCAGCACTCGACCCCGTTTACGATGGAAATTATGTGTACCAAGTAGAGCGAGAAGGGGGGAAAATCGAGGCAAGTGGGTGCTAAATTCCCGATGGTAAGCTGGGTGCGAATTGAGGTTCTCCGCCGAGAGAGAAGGGTACTGCCTGTGAGGTTTCTCTGTATCTCACTCAACCAGGTTTGTGATTCATCCCATTAGACATATTACCGGTTGGCAGCGTACCTTATGCCAATTCCATACAAGTACACGGCTCGTGCCCGAGTGAGTGCATTCACAGAAAGAAATCCTCATAATAGAAAAGACATTGAACTACAAAACAATGATACTAGTTGTTTATATGGTCACGCGTCAGCACTTCCGGGTAGGCTAAGTAAGGCAGGGAGAGGGAGGTTATCTCGGAGGTGCTAGTATTGTTTTGAGTCATTATAATACGACAAGTCGGCCCTAAGGGATGATTACGTCAAGACAACGCAAGACAATACAGTGCACAACAATAGTAACAACGGGCAGGCAAGCAGGATGACCATCAGAGAGTCTTAGCTATTTCCCGGCAGGCAGGCGGGTAGGATAGACGAATGCTACCTACCCTGGGTATCCACATAATTAGCCGACAAACTGAGGTGGTTTGTGGAATAGCCATCTGACGCAGAACGAGTGGCCTGCGCCGAGTTTCAGACCTGATTGAGCCGGTCGCACGTACATACGTGCGAACCTCAGCAAGCGCCCTACAGGAGGAGCCTGCAGTATAAGGCATACCAATACAGGACAAACATGCCCACCAGGCATACGCCGGTTGGCATAAACATACTCACCCATGTCGCAGATACGCACACAAGCCGCATGCGCACATACGTGCATACAAGAGATATATATAAACGTAGTTTGTCCACATCCAAACATCACATGCATGTATCAACATGATCGTCCCCCACGAGCATACGCGCGCGCCTCCAGACGCGAAGCCGACGCGTTTCTTCTTCTGCAACAGCTTCTCCTGAGGAATCGGGTATGGAACTACGGCGGGGAGGGATTAGGTTCCGAATTTGAGGCCATCCCCGTCTTGGATTAGACGGTCCCCGCCCAAGCATGGCTTCCGAGCGCCAAACATTCAGCAGAGTTTTCCCAAGCGTACAGATTTCACCCAACCCAAACTAGATCAGTCCGCGAATGGCTGAGCCGTGAGTGGCAACTAACTCCAGCCATCGCAGCGCGAAGGGGAAGGGGTGAAAAAGGGGCAAGGGGGAGAGTGAACTGAAATGGGTGGGCAGGCAGGCGAGTCTGGCTCAGGCTGATACCCAATTGGCGGCGAGGATGGCGAAGCTGTACCTGTTGCAGGGCCGCTTCCATCGCTTCTGCAGGAGAAGCCCTGCTGCAGCAATATCCCACTTGGGTGCAGCGATAGCTCCTCCGGGGATCCGTGCCTCAGAACCTCGGCCAGATCATCTGGGTTCGGTCACGAAAGGGAATTGGTGTACCTATATAGCGATCAGATCGGTAGACTTGGTATGATGCTGAGCTTCTTTTCGAGAGCTACTAATACATAGACTATCCGTGTTGAATGGCGATATCTCGCCCCTTCACCAAGGGCAAGCGCTATCTGGGTCTAGGAGGTGCTAGTGGGCAGCTACAGAGTTGCAGTTGCGACCCAGGATGCGGCAGGTGAGCATGGGATGACGGCTGGTGGTGCAGAGGCTGGTTGGCTGGATCTCGATTGGAGGAACGCCGTGGAACGTCCTGACAGACGCCAGGAACAGGCATAGGGCGGTGGAGAATTGCCTCAGCCATCCCATTTACAGCGCACCACGTAGGCACAGGTAATCAAACTCAATCAAGGATTGCGCTTCTGGATCTGCCAGACATGGTAAGCCCAGGCCAAAAGAGCGGTATGGCGGTCAGCCCTTGTCGCAGGCCGTGCATCGCGGAGAAGATACGACGGACGGGCCAGGCGCTGGGGTCTGGCCGCTGATGCAGCTGGTGAGACCTGTCTGTCTCCCCGTCTGTGCGCCCTTGCCTGTCCTTGGCCCAGCCGATGCGGATCAATTGGCTACCAAGCTGCAGGAGCTCATACAACTTCTTTCTTGCCGCTCTCGCTCTGCTCTGCTTCACCTTCCGCCTTGCTTTGCTTTGCATCTTCTTTCTTCTTGCCACGGCAGTCGTCTGTCTTCCTCTCTTTCCTTGTCCTGGACATTGGTGGTATCCACGCCAATTGTCTGCCGCTCGCTTCATCTATTTTCGTCTTTGATGTCTTTGAGGCTCTAAGAATATTCTTGTCACTCACTCACTCGCTTCATCTTGCTTTCTCGCAACACTTGTCTATCTGCATTTTGTTTTTTCCCCCTTTCCAGCTTCTTTGGTATATCTTCTTGACCCTCACCTTTGGTATATTTTCATTTGGCATCTTCCTTCTTCTGTTAAACGACAACCGCGTAATAATCTAATTGTCAAGTCGACTTCTTCCGGTCTACGCTACTCGACGACCTTTCTAGCCCTCTCTCGCCCTCTCTCTCTCTTTGTCTAGCTCGACTCTGGTATACAGCAGCCACCGTCTCAGCCGTTCCCTCTTTCCCCATCCTGCGCACTTTGAGCAGCTTCAATTGCTACCGAGGACGTTGGCCGACCAAAGAGGCCAAGTGCAACTGGGACCCGAAATCGCCGTCATGGTCCTGAGGATTGATGCTCTTATCCTGGGTCAGTGCTGAGCATGTCGCCCAAGCCATCGCAGCGGCCTTCACGCCAGCTGGATTCTTCTGCCCAGATTCGGCTCGTTCCTTACAGCCCACCCCGGATTAGCTCTGCTGGGTCCGCCCAAACCTCATCCTCGACGTTTTCTTCTGCCCAGCACCCGCACACGGACATTGACAGCGCTTCCCCACACCTCCACGACGAAGCATTTCCGAAGCCCGACGTTTCAGGACAGTTGAAACGAACCCCTTCCAGCATAACCACTGCATCCGGCCATGTGTCGCTCAAGCCCGACTCTGATAATGTGAGCATCTCAAGTCGCGCATCTTCATCCGGAGGCAGCTCGACAACGCGTCGGCCAAAGAGGGTCATTAGCGTTAATTCTGATAACAAGACTTTCTCACTTGTACCGCTCGCGGGCTCAGCTGCGTCAAGGACGGATTCGTTTGCCTCTCATGGCTTTTCGTCTCCCACCCCCAGCGGATCCTGGGGTCGAGTCTCCTCCAGTGTCTACATTCTCGAGGATCGTGAAAGCTCACCCGCGACACCTGGACCCGCCGACATGTCGCTTTCGTCTAATTCGTCCGCTCCCTTGAACGAAACCACGGCATCGAGGAGCAATCGCCTCGCCTCTCCTGCTTGGAGTTGGCGAATGCGAGGGGCCACCATGCCGAAGATCGATGACAACCAATCCCAGTCTAGCCAAGATGATTCATGTCTCCAGAGCCGTAACGACGACGAGGATCATGTCTTTGATATGGAGAAATCCCCCAGCCTCCCGCCCATGCCAGCAATCTTGCCCAGCCGCCGAAAAGATGCTGACCGAGTTATCGAGTCCAAGCAGTCCTTTCAGTCGATTGCCTCTAATTCTACATTGTCGGAGAGAACAAACTACAAGGTGTACGGGCAAAGCTCTCCTTGTCCTGTGGACCGTCGCATTTCGTACGAGTATCAGGAGCATGGTGATTTCGCTGATGACGATGCAAGCTTCGCGCCATCTTCACAACAGTCTCTATCCAACTATCAAATCCTAGCCGAATCATCTGACATTGAGTCTATTCGTGAGCAAAAACGACCCTTCACATCCAGCAGCGATGTCAACATTGTCCGCCACGGCCGTTCAGTCTCGTGCTCATCGCTCATCCCTGGCCGCAGCCCTCTCAGACCGGAGTTCTCACAAGAGAGCCTCTTGGTTGCCCCTTTGCGACCGACAAAGCGTAACTCGTTTGATAATGGTAGTATTGTCAAATCATGCTCTGCGGAATCTCTTCGTCGTGCGTCACTCTCTTCGATTGGGTCAAGTTTTAGCCAAGAGGCGACCCGCTCGCTCTTCATTGGCGCTGCTTCGGTTGTTTATATTCAGGGTGGACTGCGCAACCAGAAATCCCGCTTATTGGCTTCGGGATCTGGCACTTCAAGCTCGATGGTGCCTGCTCACCCGCACCGCTGGAGCACGCCTCTTTCAACAGTCATGTCGGAAAGCGAAGGAGGCAGCGTCGCTCCATCTCGCTCATTATCTCCCTGGTCGGGAATTGACCGCAGAAGTAGCAACAACAGCAGACATGTCCTTAGTATGTCCTCGTCTCTCGCAGGACTGGATGATATGACCCTGCCACCTTCTCACTCTAGGAGCGCGTCTCTCGAGTACCCACCCGTTGCTCTGCACACACGCAGCTCAGGAAGGGATCTGATGGGAAATATGAGGCAGGTTCGGGACTACGATGAGCACGGTGATGGCCTTGCAGATCTCGATGTACAACTTCATCACCGTGCTTCCCGATCTCGGCTGGCTTCTGAACACGCCTTACGACACTCAGCCAGCACACGCAGTTTAAACCCTCTTTCTTTCCCCGCATGGGCAAGGTATGTTTATCTCGATTTCCTAACATCGCGTTGAGGTGCAAGTCTAATTTTGACGATAGGTTGTATTACTGCAGTGGCGAGCGCCGATTTTTAGTAGCCCAAGCGTCCTCAGATTCTATTAGGTCTCTGTATAATGGATCCTTATATAACGAGCAACCTCTCCCTGGCAAAGCGTTCATGACCCATGCGCCTTCATTTGAGCGTATACAACACAATACTTCTCTGCCGCCCAGTGCAGTGGTACCTCAATCTCTCGGAGCAGTTCTTGATCCCAAGAATGATCAAAGTGAGATCGCTAGACCCAACATTTCAGAGATAGGCCCCTGCGACGAAGAGATGCCGAGCCGTGTCGCGAGTATTGTCCGCCGTGTGAAGAAGCAAACATCAAGCATTTGGTCGCCTCATCTTCACCTCGATCGTCGAGCTAGCCGGTATAATATTTGGGGACCACCCTCTGAGCCTCCCTCGGAGGGAAGCGGTTTCGACTGGCTTCGAAATCGTCAAACCGCCCTGTTCGTCTCAGGATTCATCCTACCCTTTTGTAAGATAGCCCTTTTTTGTAAAGATGAAATATTTGAAGGCGGCACTGACTCTTGAAACAGTATGGATTGTTGCAGCTTTTCTACCATTGCCACCTAAACCGGTTCTGGAAATGACACAACAGCAGCACAACAGTACAAGTCATTTAGATTTTACCCACGGAAACGATTCGTCTCAGGCCATTCATTCGGCAAACGAGACACGATATAATACCGCCAGATGGTGGAGGAACCTTAACCGGGTGATGGCCATTGTTGGTCTCCTCGTCATTGGCGCTGTGATTGCACTCATTATAGTGGGCGTCAAGCAGCAATGGACCAGACGCTCATGAAACGAACTCAACCGACGATCATTGAAAACACGCCTATTCAGCACACTTAGCACTTCTCACGTCCTCTTTTTTTATTACATTCATTTCCTACCGCATGGCTTTTGGCCCCTGCGTTACGACTCTCACGATGAAAGAGAACCAAAAGCAACACGCGACCAACACGTACTAACTCATTCACGGAACCATTTAAGACTCAATGTTGTATATGATATTTGAACTTCGATCTACGATACCAGACGTACGATGCTCTTCTTTTTTCAATTTGTTTTTCTATCATTTATCTTGGCATTTTTTCATGTCAGATCTCTGAACTGTATTTCACACTATCTTTTCTACTGTTTCTTTTATACAGCGTTGTCAATATCTTGCGGATAGCACGATGAACGACTTTGATGGGCTTCACGCCATTTTTGGGTATACACTTTGCTGTCCATGCTACCTTGTAAAACAATTCATGGGCTGTGTTACGGATTCAGGATTTTAATGACTTATGTATATATATTATACGCACATGCCTACTTATACTTCTCGCTTCTTGGTGTGAATAAAAGTCTTCAGTTTATTTTCCTCGTTTGTCGGATTGATCGTTCTTGTTTTTCCAAGTGATCCATGTTCTCAATCTTTGAAGACATTTGTACGTGAATGGTCGTCTAGTAGTGGCTGAGCTCAAGTCATTTCGAAAGCCGGCTGGCATGCGAGAACCCCATGCGGGATTGAGCCAGTGTAGGCTTTATTTTTGCTTCTCCTTTTGCTTTTGCAACTCTTCAGCCATCTTCCTTTCAACCTCGGCTCTGAACTCCTCGATCGCCTCGACAAGATCGCCTTCAGGGTCTTTGGAGATACCCAACACAGGTTGACCGCCAGAAAGACTCTCAGAACTGATAGTCCGAACCAGCCTCTTGTTGGCCTTTCCTTGGCGCTTCTCGAGCTGCTTCCCTAGCATAGCCTTACCGGGAGAAGAGAAGAATGCCAAAACTCCCACTATCCAGACCAGTGCGTAAAAATACACACGGGCCCAGACTCGAAGACAGTCGCCAAGTCGAAGGATGAGGAATGGAGTTGTGGCGAAGGAGAATGTTAGCTGGGTACCGAAATACGTCGCGATGTCATAGTATTTCTTTTTTGATGAAGGCTTGCCGGACAAAGGGTCAAGGAAGAAAGGCCGGACGTGTCTGCGGAAGTCTATTTGACGAAGGAAGGTACCGAGTTAGTCATAATGGCTCTGGTACACGGGCACAAGTCGGATAACTTACGCTTAGCAGCTGTTTGAACCAGACTGGCGAAGAGGAAGGTTAAGTAATATCCTGGGTAGAAGCCATGCCACAGCGCGCTGGTCCCGAAAGTAAGCATGCTGGCTCGGAAACCAGGCTTTTTGCCCTTGGGTGTAACTCGCAGATACACGTAATTGCGTAGCCAGTTGTTTGTATTTATATTCCAGCCGCCAAGATACGACCTGGCATTCTGTGCAGTTTCGACTGCCCATGGGTCAATGTTCCGAAGGCGATTCCACGAGACTTTGCCTGTAATAGGATCGACGCCATTGTATCCCAGCCCAGCGAGAATGCAAGAGCCTTCCGTGAGCGACCAAACTCCGTAATACTTGAAACGAGCAACTAGGTTGGTTAAATATAGGATCCAGACACGGCGGAGGATATTGTAAGTCATGTAGGAATCGGACAAGAGTTGGTCATGGCCGTACGGTCCGGAGAGTGTGAGGAAGAGCAGAAGCCACACTAGACCAGAAGCACCCTTCCATACAGCAGGAGTTCCGCTGCGGGGAATCCTTCTCTTCTTCCGCACAGGGGGTTTCTTTGATGGGTCGACTTGCGCTGGTAGATCGAACATGGTGGTATCGACCCAGCGTCGGTATTCGGCGTAGTCGAATGCGGGACCAGCCAGCAGAGAGGGAAAGAAGAGCACATAGCCGGCAAAGTCAAGCAAGCCCGGAAGCTCGCGTAGCATTCGATCGCGCTGAAAATCAGACAGTTCTTCATCGGGCAGACGGCCATCGGCAACGTTCCAGCAGAAGGCACTGAGCTTCATCACCATAACCATCTGGGCACCTGTAATATCAACCATGGAAGGGTTATTAGCAATTTGCCGCGAGATATGGCTGAATGACATGTGCCCCATCACAAAAGCAAAACCAATCCATGGCATATATGCGCTCGATCGGAGATATTTGGCGATGCAGTATGTGCCGGCAGAGCTTATGAAAATCGTCAAGGCGCCATCCCACAGGTCGAAGAGGCCGACAAGATAAAATACTGAGATACTGCATTTGAGAATTTAGCTAGGTTCATCAATTTAGCTACGGCATAAAAATGACCTACCTGATGCTGAAGAGATTCTTTTGCCAAGGTTTGGAATCAGGGACTCTTTTGAGAAGGCCAGCCAAGGGATATGATAGGAGCATAGAAAAAATGAGTTTGACTGGAAGGTAGTGGCAAGATGCCGCCATGGTCAGCTGGGTTGATACTCTTCAAGCAATACCTGGGCTCGGACAATAGGGGATTGCGACTCACGTTCATCCGGAGATGCCCCAATCTTTGCCGCCGCATAGGCGAAGGCTGTAGAACGCGACAGGCATGGTCAGATATTTTCACTACGGAGGGTGGGAGAAGCCAAGGACTGTACGTTTGTGTAGGGAGGTTATCATGGTTCTTGAGGAGCTCGGTGGGCGACCGCTTAGGAACTGAGGAGTCGGTGCGTGAAGATAAGGGATATTCTGAGGGACCTAAAACATCATTGATCCATGCTTATTCTTTGCCGCTAGCAATCTATGGCTAGAGAGAGCAGGAGAGGGAGAGGGAGGACTCTAATCGTCATCCCACCATCCATCTCGGCGGGAAGCTCCAGCAATTATGTATGAAGTGGAGGGTCCACCCTATCGATAAGCTTTTTTTGTTGGGGACTAAGTTGTGCCACCTCTCAGCTGCCCTCGGCCCCTGCCAGGTAGTAAGTTAGCCTGAACCTGAACACAGCTTTGGTCACGTACATACGTCACACAGGTACGTCACATCGCATCGGTGTTTCTTTCCCAGGGGCATGCTGTAGATGGCTGTCGTGATTGGTGACCACACTGTGAATATCTGTTTGGCCTGCTGCCCATCGGACGCCTCCATCCATCATGCTGAACAATCTGCCTCATCACATGAACGAGGCTGTGTGTCCGCATGAACCTAATTTAGGCACTGAGAAGATGCCTCGCTTCATAGACTGTGTGCGCCCAGCATTCTAGCTCACATGCCACCCGACCATCTGCTTTGCTTGGTTTTATTGAAGTGAATCGATTTCTATCTAGGAACCCACGACTCCAAATACAATACCAGCAGTTAAGGACGAAATCACTATAACTCCGCCACAACCCCTCCTCCCAACAATAGAAATTCAACATCGCCGAGGCTTCCGCGCAAATATGTCCTTGCCAACGAGCCCGCGAAGATAAGGGCCCGCCACGTCCTTTATGTGATCCCGAGAGAAAGACACTTTCGCCGTTTACCTTGTATGCCCATATATTATGATGATGTAGTATGTTAATGATGAATCTTTGCTGGCTATGCTCCCAACCAACGCCGGAGAATCAATGTCATAGCTCATTTGTTCGCATCCCGGTTGCTTTGTGAGCTAGCGCTCATACCGGCACGGGATGTCGGTAGTGAGTCCTTGGGTGCACTTGACTGCCTGACTCTCGCATATGCGTAAACGAGTCCACTGACGAAACCGATGAAGATCGCTGATACACTTCCCACCGTGACGGGGGCAGAGAAGAAGACCAAGCCACTGATGGCGATAGGGAGCTTGTTGAGAGCACCAACCATGGAATAGGTTGTGGAAGACGTCACACGAATACACCATGCCGAGCAGTATGAAATGAAGATGGCAGCAAGACCGGAGTAGATCATACCAACGATGATGCGGTTGCGCTGGTCGGCAGGAAAGTTCAGAGCGAGGTTGGCAGAGGACCAATCTTCGGAAACGAGGCCACAGACGAGGAGGACAGGGATTGTCAGTAGGTTGTTGTAGTACATGGCTATATCAATATTAGCAAGCGTGGACAATGAAATGGATCAACAATGATGTAGCTCACTATCCCAGTCCTTGAAGTTCATCTTCTTAATAACCTTGCGCATGCCGAGAACGTATGTGGCACTGCAGAAGACGTTGAGACCCATCCAAGCGTATCCGGCATTCAGGGTAGACATTGCCGTAGCAGAGTCCTGGGCCGTGAAGTCGCCAGCGATGGCGCTCTGGATATCGGCCCAGGCAGCCACGACAGAGCTCAGCACCATCAGCCCAAAAGATAAAAGCGAGAGAGGCGTCACACTACCGCCAAACCAAAGGACTTCACCATAGGCAATGACAATGATGGTCAGGTTCTTGAAAATCGTATAGACAGGGACCGATAGGAACTGAAGCGCTTTCGTGCTAGTGTAAATCATGCCGACGAGGAGAACGGCGATAGGAAACCCTGCATATGATTAGTGGTTGTGAATTTGGCCCAGTGAATAGAATCGATACGTACACTTCTTCGCTCTATCCGAGTCAAATGGTGCCAGATTTTTAATGAGACCAGCCTGCTGGCAGGCCGTGATTGTCGCAGTACTAACGATGGCCTAAGACCTTGAGAGTCAGCGGGATGTCGGAGAAGGAGAATGAATTGGGTCGAGTATTTTATACCTGGACGGCGAGGTAGAGAAAATTGAGGTTCCACCCCTGGCCTGAAACAACATATTTATTGACGACGGTCATACTGATAGACGAAATGCAGTATGCGAAAACCGATAGCAGAGGGCTATTGTCCAGCTTGGAAAAGGACTGCGAAATCGCTGGCGAGTTCCCGGCATACGAACTCGATGATGGCGAGCGGGCATTGAAAGAGCTCTTATCCTTCTGCTCATGGGAGCCCTCTGGCATCCGCACGACATAATCCTCGTTCTTCTTGTCCGACATGGTCGTTGTTAGGCGCAGGCTCGATGAATAAAAGAACCCAAATTATCGGTGAGGGTCGCCGATCGGTCGAAATTATCGAGGTGGTCAAAAAAGCCTTGGCGAAGCCGACAAGTAGAAACTCGCAAACAAGTAGACGAGGGGTAGGCTACGAACAAAATTGCTAACGAGCGACTAGAGGGAACTCGACCAATCTCCTTGTAAACGGTTGTTGGCTTCGCCGTTAAAAAAGGATGCCAGCTTGGAGCAACGCGTCTACACCCCTGAGATCCTACGTATACCATGGCGCAGCCGGCAGGGAATTATATTGCCCCGCTTAGTCATAATGACCATGCAACTGGTTCGTGGTCGCTGATTTTAGAAATTTGGACAGGATTTCATCCGAGGCACAGATTAGATTGTTGGATCACGTTCCAGGATGGCTCTTTGCTTTCCTTTGAGACACATCTCAACATGCCAGTGGGAAATGAAGCTGCGACCTACGAGACAGAGGATCAACAGGGCTCACCTATTCGTGTCACACCATGCTTGCCAAATGCAACGTGTAGAACGACTTTTGGGATTACACGTTAGCTGCACGCAAAGACAGGAACCCATGCCCAAGGAGCTCTGATGCCTGGGGTTAGATTGAAGATGTATGAGATGGGTAGTAGAGCTCTCCGGGACAGCAGGCTAAGCACAGCAAGAACAAATTACCCGGAATTCATGCAGCTGCAAATCTGTATTGCCTATGAAAGGTAGCTGTTCACATAATCCTTGCGATGTGGGTTTGCATCTAATTCGCCGGATCGGTTGAGGGGCGTCCACTTGGGTTCATCCTTGAACAGTCTAAGAGCGTGCACATACTACGTTTGCTCATTAGCATCGTGGCATCCTCACAAAGCTTATTGCGTCTGGAGTGCGGGGGGTCGTCGCAGCTTACATTGGACTCGTCCGTAGTGAATCGGTGATAGATTCCAGCCGGGAGAATGAGCAAATCATCCTTCTCCAACTGAACTCGCACCCATTCATCGTCGTGGCTACGGACATCAAAGTAGCCCTGCCCCCCTCGAATATATCGAATCTCCTCGTCCTCATGCAGGTGCTCAGAGAAGAACGACTTGACCTTGGTTTCGTATGCTTCGCCCATGGTCTCAGGCGAGACTTTGATCTCATCGCGATTCCTGTAGCCTCGTTCGGTAGCGAGATCGTTGACTTGTTCAATGGAATCCAAATGAAAGTACAGGACTCCAAGCTTATTCAAGGTTTCGACATCGACGGAGCGTCCAGAGTCGTGAGCGAGGCGCTGGTCGCCCTGTGTACTTGTTAGCTAGCTGGGGGGGCTGCCTTCGGTCGCCGTCGGGGACGTACCGGCAAGTTGTCGTACAAGTAAGCTTTCATTTTCGATGTAGATGGAACGAGAGGGCACGTAGGTCTGGAACGGAATCTGCGGTCGAGTAATCCAGGAGGGATAATCGCGCCGGCAGGCGGTAGCTATTTATTTGCTTAGGACTGGTGATGGTGGGGTTCCAGACCTCAACAGTCATAGCCCACCACCACTACGTCAGGCCAACTCCACCAACCACAGCGCAGTCAGATCGCGCCATCATAATCAGCACCAAAAACGCCGTCAAACATGATGTGATCAGAGGCTAATGCAGGATCGTCGAACCACCTCACATAGCTATTCAGCCAATAAGCTACTGGCAATAAATCGCCTGGACCGACGTGCAACAGATGACACAATCGAGTTATGGCCCGAGATGTCTGCAAACGGTAATTCTCGAGAAGCATCCATCTGCCGGCAGCGCAATTACGCCTTCATACAATACCAATGTTTTCCCGCCTAGACACATCTTCTGACACCGGGCACCGATGCAGAGCAAGCAGAAGAATCAATGAGTTTTCGTGCTGAATTTGTACAAACTTCGTTACATCGTGCAGAGTTAATGCCGTCATACCAAGTCCCAATGCGAGTTTAGCAGCCTGCTAAAATAAAAATGCACCTGACGCCTTCCTTTGTTCTTTTCCCAAGTCCCGGCAGAATCTTAACATCTAATGATCTAATTTACGATTTCTGGTGCTGCAACATCTCGAGGACCAGCCACCAAAATATCATCGTTTCCTCCATTATCTGACTCATTGGGGAGGGGTCCTTCGAACAGGCGCCTCCACCAGCGAGGGGGATCCAGGGGTCTGGAGTCGTTGTGAAGGGGGGGGTACACATCGTTGAAGAAATACCAAACATGGCCAATAACCACACCCATTATTTCGTCCCTCGGAATAGTGCCGTGCATGACCAGGCTGAACCCCATCAGAACCCACGGCAGGTAAGGCGCCGTGAAGACGAGGAGGCCGAGAAAGCTCAACCTTGTTTCAGGGTTACGACGCGACCAAATGTATACGAGTGTTGAGGACAGCGGGTGTCCCAGAAATGGCATCGAGACGAGGGGGGACAGCGCGATTAGGCTGGCCATGGCGTACATGAGGAGCCACGAGAAATGCGCTGGTGACCGACCCGAAGACTCTTCTAAGAGTCTTGCATATCTTTGGAGAAAGTATATGTGAAATAGCAAGTCAAGAGAGAAGGGTCCGAAGTAGAGGAAGGTCGTTAACAGTCTCCAGTACTGGGATGCGTCAGCGATTGATGCGAGCGGTAGGCAAGGCAGCCAGGAACACGTTTGGGTTAACGAACCTGTAATTTGACAAAAACGGCCCGAAAGCTATAGAAGAGTTGGAATGGCGTTACCATATGGCACTGGACGAGAGCGCTGGTAGAGATTGTTGCCACTGTCCACCATCGTGTGACTATAGGCATCTCCCAGAACCAAGTTTCTAGCGGGAGACGGCCGCCATCCAAGACCTGATCCATTGTGCCTCTCGAGGTCCTGCTAGCTCGGGGATTGTGGTCATGTAAGAAACAGATATCGCATAAGGGTCGAAGGAGCGTCTTGGTGGGATAGAGTTCGGACAGAAAACGTGATGATCAAGACGAAGGCCTTGGGCGGACGTGTGGTAAGTTTCCGAGGCTTGCATCAAGTTGGTTGGTGAACGTGGCAGCTTTAGGTGCCGGTCTCAGCTACCTAGTGGGCATATGTATCCACTTACCCCATAAGGTTGAAATTATGTAAGCAGCTTTCTGGTTAGAAGAGGTACGTAATCTAATGCAATTCCTTCGATTGTTGGCCAGGTATCGATGAGACCTGCATGCATGATTAGAGATCTCGGATTACGGCCATCCCAAATTTGCCCTTCGCAGCTCATCAGATCGCTCACTCTACATCAGTCTGGCTTGCCAGTCGATGCCATCCCTGGCCAGAGTCAACCGCTGGACGAGGTTGGGCGGGCGGAATCGCGGCGCCCCACTAATATCCATGCAATCAATTTAAAAAAACGCGGGGCTGGGAAGGCCGGTCGCGTCTTTCTTTATCTCGGCGCAAGTTCACCACTTGCCTTTCCACTCCTTCTCCTAATGCTCGCCCAAGTTCCCCTCGACATACCTTCGATCATCCAACGCTGAACACTGGCCTTCACTCGATTCTGTCGATCGCGTATATTTCATATTCTGGCCGCATTGGTTGGCACTTGCAATGGCCAACGCCTCGAAAGCCGCAAAGCGCCCTGCCGCTGGGAAATCGCCGGCTCAGAAAGCTCGCAAAAATTGGCGACCGTCGGAAAAGGAATATGCGTCAAAGCCACCACGAAACTGGAAGCCGCGCCCCGGGGATATTCAGGGTACGTGACAAAAATTATGATTTGCCTTGGGAATACTTGGAACAAGCACTGACAGCATTTCCCCTGTAGCTGGTGATCCCGTCTATGTACCAGCCAAGCGGCGCTACCGTCCAGGCACCGTTGCGTTGCGTGAAATCAGAAAGTTCCAATCAAGCACAAAGCTGCTTGTCCAGAAACTCCCATTCGCTCGTCTGGTAGGTTCACACATGTAGCTGCAGAGAATGCTTAACCACAGTCGATAAGTCTAGTTTAGCTAACATAACCTTCATCAGTGTCGAGAAATCGGACTTCAGTATCGGCCGGCCGGGAAAGACTTTCGTTGGCAGAGCCAGGCTCTTCAAGCATTACAAGAAGCTGCAGAAGCTTATATGGTATATCTCTTCGAAGATGCAAATCTCTGCGCCATACACGCCAAAAGAGTGACTGTGATGAAGAAGGATATCCAGTTAGCAAGGCGGATTCGTGGAATCTGGGGTGGACTGGGCTAGCTGGTGGATTTCAAACGACTATCAGCAACTAGCTTGCAGCCAAGCGACGGGAAGCCAAGTATATATTGTTTTTATACCAGCGTTGGGAAGTTTTGGCGTTATGGATGAGGCGACATGGCTCACAGGGATTTTTGTTTTATACTTGTTTCGGGTCACCTCGTGAGGGTGCAGATCTATATCTCTACCCTTCAAAGATATCAAATGATAATAGCATACGTGCCTTCATAACTGGATCTGGAACATACCGCTCGCTACTACCTCCTAAAATAGAGCCTAGAAGAAGTGATGAGCCATGATGAAAGCCTCGGGCCCGATTCCCCAGGATCTTCAAAATTAGACACAGAGGTGCAACGAGCGAGCTTGGTACCCGATTAGGTTAGTGTACCTTGCTGCTACTACCCACTGAAATAGATTTATGCGCCATTCGATGACGTCCTGTGCAGCGGTTCCGTCTCTTGTTATCATTTCCCATTCAAGCCCTCACAAGAGTCAGGTACCTATGGCTACCATGATTCGAGCAACCACTCTACGTCGAGCAGGCCGGCTATTCGCGTCCGGGATCGCCCCAAGCGCTGCCTGCATCGGCACCGTATATCTCTTGAGACCGAGGCCCATTCAATTAGATGCCATTGACGTGTCTCCACGGCAGCACCAATCTCAACGAGCTGGGTTGTCAACAAAAACTGTTCAGCAGATCTCCAGTGGCAGCATGGCTGGTAAGATTGATCAATTTCTGTTTAGCTTATTTTCCATCTCCCTTAAACGAAAGAAGGAGAAGAGGTTATCAAACTAATTGGATTATTTGCTCTAGGCTTTGGCTGTGGCTTGATTATTGCTCTATTCTCTCGCACCCTTGCATTCTTGGGAAGTATATTAGCAGTCTCCGTATACGTAAGAACTGCATTCTCTCTATTTCTACTCAGTGGTAACCGAATGACCTAACCTGTTTAACCAAGGTGACTTCTCGTTACGGGATCGATCTTCCCCAGATCCTAGGAATAAAGAAGCTTCTTCTCAAGTCTTCGGTGTGGCGAAAGTTGGGGGGTAGTCCATGGTTCACCGCGTCGTTTGCTTTGACGTTCACACTTGCGGCATTTGTTCATCTGTAGGAGTACGCAAAGCACCTCCAGCCCATTAGACAATTGCCTGTGTCTCTCGCTTAAGCCATGCTGTTGTCAGTGGGTCATTCTCGAAAAATGGACCAGTCTTCTCCAGGATTTCTGCGTGGTAGTTGTTGATCCAAGTCTTCTCGACATCTGTCAACAGATTGACGTCGATAAGCCTCTGGCAATAAGGAACCATCGTGACATGCTCAAAGCCAAGGTATGGCTTATCTCCAAAGGTAAACTTTGTGGCAACCTCTCGCACCATAATGATATTCTCGATCCTAATACCAAAATTGTTCTCGACGTAGTACCCGGGCTCGTTAGAGAGTACATTCCCTGGAGAAAGAGCGACATCAACGTATTGTGCGCGTGTGCCAATGCCTATGGGGCCTTCATGGACGTTAAGATAAGAACCAACGCCGTGGCCAGTTCCATGCCTGTAGTCAAGGCCATATTGCTGTACCATATGGTGTTAGTTTCATTTTTACTCAACAACAACGGAAGTTGGGGAAAGGTTTACCCATAAATACTGCCTAGCCAGAGTATCAAGAGAATATCCCGTGGTGCCCTTAGGGAAAACTGCTCTATCCAGCGCGATATTCCCCTTCAAAACCAACGTGTACGCTTCCTTCTCAGCGTCGGTCGGCGTTCCAAAGTGCAGGGTGCGGGTCGTGTCTGTAGTGCCGTCTTTATACTGAGCCCCTGAGTCACAGAGATAAACTTTGTCTACATCAATCACAGAACAATCGCCCTCCTGGGGCTTATAGTGAATGACCGCGGCACTAATGTGATTGTCAGCTTTATTCTTGTTTTTCGCCCAATATAATGCCAATCAGCAGCAATCTCCAAGTGCAAAAATATTACTCACTTAGCTCCAGTGGAAGAAATAGTTGGAAAGGAGAGATCGACATAAAGCTCCTGCTTTTCTCGGAGCGAGATGAGTTTTTTGTCGGCCTCGACCTCGTTAAGTACTGCTTTCTTGACCACAAGCTGATCCTCAAGCCAGGCAAAAAACTCAATCAAAGCAGCGCCGTCTCGGATGTGGCAGGCTCGCATGCCTTCAAGCTCCTTCTCATTTTTTATCGCCTTGGCATCGCTGATAGGGCTTCGGACTTCGTCTACGAGGTCATCACCTCCTAGCGCACGGTGAAGCGCCCACGAAGCTCTATTGGATACAAGAAGGTGCTTTGGGGACGCTTGGCCTTGAGCTCCCGCGGTTTCTTTCACTTGCGATTGAAGTAGCCTGGCATCGGAAAGGATTGAATCGTATGGTTTCCATTGGACATTGTTCTCTGCAAGGTAAGCGGTCACTCTATCGTTGGACTCTAGGCCGTTGATATAAAGCGTTGCAGACTCGGGTGTGACAACGGCATATGAGAAGAACACGGGGTTGTAGGGAATATCGCTACCTCGCAGGTTGAAAAGCCAGGCGATCTCGTCGAGCATCGAGACCACAAACCCAGCTGCGTTTTTCTTGTCAAGTTCCTGGCGTAGTTGGTCGAGCTTGCTCTTCAAAGACCTCCCAGAAAAATTATCCGGGTGGAGAAATACTTGCTGTTGGGGACGAGCAGGCCTATCATCACCCCAGACCAGGTCGACTAGATTTTCTTCAAGGGGAAGTAGTTCAGCACCTCCGGCTTTTTGTATTTTTTCACTCAGCTTCTTTGCAGATGAAGAAGGAAGCAGTGATGGGTCAACAGCAACGACATTACCACCTGCTGCTTGCTCTGCTGACCAATCCTGCCAAGTCTGGGCATCTTGGAGGGCGGAGTTGAAGAGCTTCCAGTTAGCATCGAGCTGTTTGGTGGCCTGAATGATATAACGGCCATCGGTGGAAAGAATTGCTGATTCGGGTGTGACAACGGCCACACCAGCTGATCCAGTGAAGCCCGAGATATACTCACGTCGGGAATCAGAAGCAGCAATGTACTCCGAAGAGTGGTTGTCTTCAGAGGGGATGACTAGTAAAACTGTCAGGATTTCACCCAATGGTGCGACTAGAGCAGAAGGATCAGGGATAAATTACTGTAGACATGCACATTGCGCTCCTTCATCAAGCTTCTCAGCTTGATGAGGCGAGAAGTGGTGTCGACCTTGGTTGTGGCCATAGCTCCAATGACGGTTGAGAGGGGTCGTGTGACCCTGGTGGGATAATTCAGAGACAAGCGGAAGAGCGAGGATGCAAGGCAGCACGGTTGTGATGCAGCCTTGACGATGGTAAGCTGAAAAGGTCAGCCAAGCCAGTTTGTGCGTTTTTGTTTATGGGAGAGCCAGGGGATGGTGCTCGCGAGGTGGTCGCTGGGAGGATTGGGATCCGAAGGGCACACATCATACCTTGGGGAAAGCACCAGGGTGCATTACTGATGGCATGCTGAAGCAAGCTTCCTAACTGCAGTACTTGCGAGCCTGCCTAGGTACATCCCAGAACCTCGCATTAGCTTGATGGTTCTGTGGCGATCAAGCGGTGTTGGTGTACTGCCTATCCACTCAAGGTACCTGAGTTAGGGGACTCCAAGACTTGGACAAGTCATTCATACATAACTACCTTACCACCTATGAATTGCCTGCTTGCGAATGAGGAGTTGGGATGGACCTGCCCGCTAGGTATGTGGTGGGGGAACGAAAAGCGTTAGCTACCCGCCTATTGAATCGCAGCACAGCGAAAGGCTCCATTGAAACCAGCCAGTCATTAGGTACTAAAGGTGGAAGCAGCCCTGGAGGGGTCAAAGGGGTGGTGCTACTAACTTCAGGGCCCTACCCGAATAGCGGGGTGCAAGTCGAGAGTAATACCGAGTGTGCCCACAATGCCATCAAGCCTTCGCTTTCCGAGATGTGCAAGTAAACCGGGGGGGTGAGAAGGAAACAGCGTCAGGCCTCTCCGGGGAATCTTTGAGTGACAACCTACATTGTAACGCTCTTGAGAAACGGACGGCCCGGGCAAGTTGTTCTGTGCGATGGAGAGTTACTGGACCGAACCATACACCCATCTAAGTACCTACCTATCTAGAGCAAATGTGATATTTGAAGGTTAAGTCAGATACCTCAATATTTTTGCCTTGGGCAGAGGATCCACGCTCAGGGCTACTTCGGCAAGTGCATTTCAAGCCCGCAACCCTAAATCCTTTATAATCTGTCCTAGGAAGAGGGAATACTGTGGTTAGGTCGGGATGCTGGCGAGAATACCTGCATGAATGACATCCTACAGGGTAAGCTGCACGACGCTGGCCTCGCTAAGAGTGTTGCAATTTTGTTTCTTGAACGTTTCCAAACCCAATTGCTGGTGCTGGAGCGGCTTTATGTGGCATTGGATGTTTCCCCGCGAGCAGAGTCATACGAAAATATAGGACCTCGATGAATTTCACCCTCCTTGTGTGCCTTATATGATATCTGCCTGTGGTGCATTGTGCTGATATCTGTTACCATTCCATCCCGCTACTGGCTACTGCCCAGCCTGGCTCCGCCCACCACCGACTTTACCTTAGTACCTACTTTCCAACTACAAACTTCCCTACATCACCCATCCGTGGTTTTCCCCTTACCCCCTCCAAAACTCAGGGAACCTTGCGCTTCGATACTAAACGAAGTACCAAGGCACATCCACTTCCTCGTCGATCCCAAATTTGGTTTGCCGTTTCCAATCAGCAGCCGGATCGGTAAAAAGTCCGGTTCTTTCCACAACTTCGCACATGATGCTAGCAGGCATTTCAATATGGACAGTCAAGCACCACCTTTGACCGTCGAGCAGGTTGAATCTGTATGTAGCATAATCGGGCAGTTCCCAATCTCAACCTTCCACAAGGCAAAATATCTCTAACAAATCGGTAGCTTATCCTCGCACTCTACCAGGCGAATCAGCCAGATGTGATTGCTTCCACCCAGGCATCACTCACCCAGCTACAAGGCTCACCACAGGCCTGGTCTATTGCCCGCGACTTGCTGACCAGACCGGATGAGAAAGTCAAGTTTCACGGTGCCCTTATCATCATTATTAAGCTCAACACTGAAAGGTCAGCTTAGCCCCCCCCCAAGTTGCTGGTATTCCCACAAGTGCTTACACTCTGTTTCTAGTGATGCACTGAGTGACGATAGTGCTAGAGAGCTTCTCGCCAACCTTGTTGGTTGGTATCTTGATTCATGTTCCCAAGGGACAGCTCCACTTGTCACCAGGAAGCTTGCATCTGCCCTGGCCACGTTCCTAGTCCATTTCCATCATATATGGACGCCGTTCGTACGCCACCTGGTGGTATGCCTGGCTTCGGGGCAGTCTGTCCACCTAGATTTAGGAACTGCTGAACTCCCCGACATCAGGTCTGCTTTGGCAAACCTTGGCATTGCTCAATTGAGAGCTGCTCTTTGGGTAGTGGGCAATGTTGTCGAAGAAGCTTCAAAGTTGGACTTAAATTCAGAAAAAAAGTGAGAAATCGCAAATGCTCACTCGTGCTATTGGGTTGCTAATGTTAAAAAAAGTATTGGTCTTTATAACGTTATTCGCCAAAATTCTCCTGATGCGGTTGCGCTCATGGGAAGTGCATTTCTCGCGCAGCCAAGAATCCATGAAGATTCAATCAAGTGTCTTCAGGTAAGATAGTTTCTAGCCTGACGTTGAGCGCATGTTGCTTCAATATTAATACTTTCACTCTTCCCTAGGCTTGGGTTTTGTTTGCTCAAAAGGCATCTACTCGAGATAAGAATTTTGTCGACGCTTTGAGGCCCTTGATCACGCTTGTCATCGAATCTCTGGCAGCAGAAGAGCCTGTCCAGGAGACCATTGAACTTCTATCAGATATCCTCTCAAACTTCTCCGGTCTTCTCACAGAACAACATTATTCTATGCTTGATGCTTTCTTCTGTACCCAGAGATTTCATCAGCATTATCACGACCTGCTTCGGGGAGACTTTGAGTTTGATAAATTCCAGTACGGCCAACTGTTACTGGCCTATGGAGACGCCCGTGTGGACCTGTTGATGCGTAGTGCCGATGGCCCGGGCCAAAACATCTTGTC